TAGAGTTGGGTGTTATTCTTGTAAAAGTCTCACGTAACAGTAAAGCGAGAATAGTATCCGGCTCTATCTTGCTTCTTATATAGACTCAATCGAGTCAAATGATTAAAAATTAAAAACCTAGATAGATTAATATAAAGTGGCTTGGTTAATTTTATTTCATACCGGTCCTTTTATTTTGGCTTGATTGCATGAGTATGTATATTTGTGTGTGTTAGCGTCTACATGAAATACGGTTCCTAAATCAGACTTGTCAAAGGTTAAATCTCCTTTGACCTCTTTGACCGAGACTGCCTAGGTCCGTAAATAAGTATGGTTGATATAATGAAATATGAGCTTTTAAGCATGATAATCAAGTTACGAAACCACTTGTCCTAGCCATTCCGTCAAGGGTCATTAACGTTTAACCCTGCAAGGAAAGGCAAGACTGGGGTAGCGTAATCTGACATGTCTGGTTTGTTTGCAGAGCTTGCTCTAACATTTTGGACAGAAAAATGTACTGGCCGATCATTACAAATGTTTTCATTTACTTCTTTCTATCTTCATGTAAATTGGGCTTACAAGAACTGTTCACATGACCGAAATGTGCACATCATGCGAAATTGCTGTAACGCTTTGCCACATCTCGGCTGCTGCAGACAGGAATCAAGTCGAGCCAAACAGCTTATTCGACTCTCATGACCATCCAATTCCTCGTTTGATCCTCCTGGCTTTTGAGCGACACTTATACTTTTCGCCGTGCCTTCAGAAGCTGTTCCGATCCCCCAACTCTGCGAGCCGTTGACTTGCCCAGAAATCCTATCGTCCTCTGCTCTTTGCCACAGACTGTTCGTCTGTGGCTGGATTGGACTGCTGACAGACCAGGCGACTCGAAGGCCAGGATCATTGGCGCCTAGGCTCTCTAAAATCAGTCTTAGATTATTGCTGCCATTGTAACTACCATTTTTACTGTTGTTGTCATATTTGCCGACTAAGCTAGTTGTGGCGTCTATGGGAGTTGGAGTTTCCGGCGTATGCTGTTCACCTCCAGTCCAGTGAAAGCCACCCTCCAAGAGTGAGGGTTGAGTTCCAGGTAGCTCAGAACGAACAAGCTCTTTGTTGCTTGAATTACCTGTGAGGGCAAGGGGTTAGCGAAAATGAGAAAAGTATATTAGTTTTTAGTCAGGATATGGTAATTAGCCACTTGAAAATCTCGGTGCCACAAATCCGATCCCCGTTTGCATAAGTTAATCAGCTCAAAGTTGCATCTGTTTGAGTATAATTTTCATAAGCTAAATTACGGTAGCTTTCAAGCAATTTCATAGTGGATAAAATCTTTTCTTTAGGGACCTTTAAAAAAAAAGTAAACGCTGAAGTGTAATGTGCTTTACAAGATGATTACCATCCGGCCTGCATTATAGACAAAGTTAAACAGATTGTATATTTACAATTATCAGAGTCCAGTTCGAACATTGTAAAAATAATTATTAACTATAATTGAATTCTAATCTAAAGTATTTTAATTCCGTAATATGAGATTTATTCACCCAATTTTGTTTAAGGTGATGAAGGACTGGTAGAAGAAGAGTTTTCCCACAATGATATGATATGATATGAATTTCACATAGCCTTGCTTTCTCAAAAGTTGTTCTCATCCCGGCTGGAGTGGACTGCCCTTTCGATCTTGCATCAATCTTATCAAAACCCTCAGCGGGAGTCGAACCGCGAAAGTGCAGGAAAATAGCTTGACACGCTAACCACTCGGCTACACTGCCACGAGTGCCCTTGGGTCATAGGGCAAATGTGAATTTCAAGGAAGGTCAGGCCTTTTGTCATATCATATTCTTTGGGTGGAATTGTCGATGAAGCAAACGTATATCTGCTATAAAAATCGACTACTATACTTTTATTTTTCGAATTGAGTATTGTTTTCGTGACTACCAGTAAATCAGTAATATGAGATGTATTCACCCAATTTTGTTTAAAGTGATGAAGGAGTGATAGAAGAAGAGAGTGTTGATAAGACCGATGCGAGGTCGAAACTGCAGTCCACTTCAGCTGGAATGAGAAAACCATTTGGTAAAGCTAGGCTATGTGAAATTCCACTAAACCGACAGGATAATAAGAATTTGAGGATGAACATCTGGATGGGCTGTACATCTTTGTTG